TACCAACCAGGATATTTATATGGAAATTTAAAAATTCATAAAACCGAATCCCCTACTATGACCAATCATTTCACAGATCTCAACACCTATCTACGAGTTGTCGAAATTCGTTAACGATATGATTATTTTGTATCTACCTACTAATTATAGAATCACATCAACTCACGGCTTTCTTCAAATTCTAAAAAAATTATACAACTCAACCAAGCTATTTTAGCGTCAACCGACGTTGAAAATATATTTACAAAAGTTCCCGTCGATCAAACCATCGATATATTCATTAACTTCATATATAAAAATAAATCCGTTTCACCTCCATACATCAGACCAAATATCTGCAAAAAATTACTGCATGCCTGCGAAACTAAAGTCACTTTTTACGACTATAATGGCAATATCTACACGCAAACTAATAATGATAGTGTGAGAAATCTTCTCAGTCCGTAGAAAACACGATAGTTAAGAAAAGTTATTAAACCCAAAATGCATGTCCGGAAGGTAATCTATAGTTTTAGTTCAGCTTAAAAAGGCATTGAGAATCTCAAAACCATATTCGAAAAATACTCTGTTCTTTATTTACCTATGAACTTAGTCATAAAATAAACTCCCATTCTTAGAGGTTCTCGAAGGCTTCAGCAATAACACATTCACCACTTCATTATACAAACAGCCATTGGAGAAACTCTTGGCACCTTAATTTTAACAGTGAATGCCCACTCAGATATAAAATAGTAATTATAAAAAGTTCTCTTAAATACAACACAGGAGCATTTATCCTCTCGTCAATTTTTCCTTAAAGAACTTAATAAAAATCAAACAGACGGTAGTTAACAACAGTTTTACGAACTACCTCATCGATCACCAGTTAAGACTAATTTTTCTCAAGTAACTAATAGCAATACTGAACATACAGTTAAAAACAAAAACATCAACTCTTCTACAAAAGGCAAATATATGTTAACTATAAGCAAGACGAATTTACTCTTAGAAATTTCACATAGATATAAACAACCCAAATCGGCCAGAACAAGAAAATTAAATTATGTATTACAAAAAGTTTAAAACAGCTAACGTTATCATCAAATTAACAAGACACCTGCAAAATCAACACTAAACAAAACCAACATTATTTACGAGATGAAATTCCCCTTAAATAACTGTGTTCCTGATCAAACCAAACTCATAAATAATTACATTGGTTATACTACCACATGTCTATTTGAAGACTCACGTTAAACCTACCTGACCATAGCTCAATTAGGACTCATTTGCAGACACACGTAAACCTAGAAAACTCCATCCAAAACATTCTAATAGAAAATACAAGTATAATAGCTTCATCCACATGTAATAATAATTATTATTATTATCAATAATAATAATAATAAAGAAAAAGCCAACACTTAATAACATTATCTACGAATACGGTCACAATGTGCTGATCGTGTTTGGAAAATAAAACATTCCTATAACTTCAGACACATACATAGAAACCCACACAGTCAGTTAAAAAAAAAATAAAAAAATAAAAATTGCTCTTGATAATGACTAAAAGAATAGCCGAAAGCGCTCAGATATGCAGAACTTTTGGACAGTTTTTAAACACTTTGTGTCCAAAAAAAAAATACATTTACGAACACAAGAAAAAATTATATAAACAACTTAATCGCAGTACCTTGTCAGTATGACCAACAGCTTCTAACATGTAAGTTTATTTAAACAATACGTACAAAATTGTTTTACAGCACAAGACCGATGCAGAAAGTGGAGAAAGGCTGATCACATTGTCTATCCCATACCTAGCTAAACTAACTCGCAATCTATTCACTGACAATTTTCTCAATAACAACAAGAACCCATCCTTTTCCATCCAATCGAACGTGTACCACAATACCAGGGATCTTAATAAAATACCCACAACTTCTGACATCTACGTGTACTTTGGTCATTGAATATTTTGCTGAAATCTGCGAATTATTTTTACAATGACGAAGATGAACGAGCACTCTTTCATTGCTTTTTTTCAGGGTGATAATTAACAATCAACGCCATGGTATGGGATATAAAATGATCTACAACGAGTTCAAGATCCTATTAGTACCATTAGAGCCATAGAAATAGAAGAATTATGGCCTAACTACAGATCTTTCTCGAAACGAATGTTCTTATAAAGTAAATGGACGAAGAACAGATCCATTTGTTGGACAGTAAAGCAGAAACCATTAATCACCTTAGAAGATCTTAAACATGACGCAGACTGCGAACAAAGAAACGAGCAAGAATACAATTAATTAGACTTTCTACAGTGTCGAACTCCTAGAAAAAAAACCATTCTACTGAAGTTGAAGCATATGAATGCGTTACTTTTTTTCCACAGTCAGCTCTAGATAACTATTACGTTTTCTGACAAAAAATTGAGGTCTGGAAAGACCAAACCCAAACGCTTTAGAGGAAAGAGATTGCGACAGGCCTGTAAAAAGTAGACTTCATATAATCCCAAAATACCATTAAAGTACTTAAATACGGTGGTGAAATTTTGTTTTATGGATTCATTTTTCTTTCAACATTATAGATGCGCTACATATTATCAGGGAGGAATGGTGGAGTAATGGATAGCAGTTTGGAATGAGGAAACGAAGAGCCAAGTTCGAATTCCAGTCGGATCCATTACATTCACTTACGTGCTAATACCCTTGGGAAAAGTATGAACGCTCTTCTCCCCCGCCAGCTATGAGTAAATAGCAGAATAGACCGGGCTCTGTAGCCTTGGATAGCAATTGATCTACCGGCAACCTACTGCAGGAAAAATCTGCCTCGTTAGTCATGTATCGAAAGATAAATGATCGCCTACACGTGTATTACGCATGGCATTAAAATAATTATACTTAAAGATACATAAATATTGCAATATATCGCCAAATAATGGAGAACAAGCTTGTTTTTTAATGATTTCACTTCAAGCTTAAGACGCGCGGGGTGACTCAGATTAAAAGAAAAATGAGAAAGCCTTATAAGAATGGGCCATAAAGAACAATGTTTCAGAAAAGACAGAAGATGAGGATTGATGTTGCTGTTAAACTTTTGAAGATCGTATGTGACAAGGAAGTAAGAATCTGGATAAAAGTTCTACAAGGAAGGAGTGCGAGAGAAAAAACCATTAGAAGTGAACTTATATCTTGATATTTAAACAAGGAGACATAGTTGCCAATCAGTGCGTAAATTCATGCAGCCGAGGTACCAAAGAGGAAATCTCATTAGAATGGAATGTAAAAAATTTACATGGGCACTTTATAACATACAGTGTATCCCGGATATAAGAGAGTTGTCGGGACCGGAGAAAAAGTCTCTTATATCCGGGTTTCTCTTATATCCGGGTTTGGTCTATTTTATATACATTAACACAGGCTCTAATTTGGGACCAGAGGAAATCTCTCTTATATCCGGGTTTCTCTTATATCCGGGTCTCTTATATCCGGGTTACACTGTAATTCCAATTACATTCTTTCGTGGTTATGTCTCTATTATTTTGGGCTAGTAATAAAATAATAATAGCAAAGCGTAATGATCATGCGAAATAACAAAGGAACTAAGGAAAGGAGCGTACGATTTCTCTTTCTGAATTTTCTGGTGAATCTTAATTTTTCAGTTAATGATTGAATAAGCTCAAGAAGAGGTCTACGGCAATAAAATAACCTTAGAATGTCCACTGTTCGCATCGTTAAATTTTTAAGCTTAATAACTTTAACATAATATTGCAATAATAATTCTGAAGATATTTTAAATTGATAACATTTTCCGTTTCACCGAGAAAAACTCTAAAACTTCTGTCTTCCTTTCTTTCATTCTTTTTTTCTTGTATAATGAAACAAAGTAGCGTCTTTGATATATCTGTTCGCGCAATCAAATTGAAATAGTGCATTATTTATGAGTTATTAGCAGGAGTCGATAAATAATAATGGCAAGACGTAATGATCGTGCGAAATAACAAAGGAATTAATTATGGAAAAGAGGGCACGGTTTTCTTATTTGAACCTTCTGGAGAGGTCTACGACAATAAAATATCCGTAGAATTTCCACTGTTCGCATCGTCATGTATTAGAACTTAACAATTGCAATAACGATTCTGAAGAGATTTTGAATTTACAACTTTTTCAGTTCCACTGAGAGAAACACTAAAACTTCTGTATTCCCTTCTTTCTTTCTTTTTCATTCTTTTTTCTTTTTCTTTCTTTATTTCCTACTGAAACCGAGTAGCGTCTTTGATATGTCTGCCCACGCAATCAAATTGAAATAGTCCATTATTTATGAGATATTGGTAGGAGACTTTAAACATCTTCCCTTCTTTCTTTCATTTTCTCTCTGAAACCAATAGCGTCTCTGAAATATCATCCCTGTCTTTACAGGCGGAAAAAAACGGTATAGACCATTATTTATGAGGCATTGGCAGGGCGTAATGGTCGTGCGAACTAATGAAGGGAAACGGAAGCAGAATTATTATATGATGATTATTTGGAGAATACATTTAGTAAACAAAAACGGAAGATAGTATTAACTGAACTTTTACTCATGATCAAAAGATATGTTTTATTACTATTGTTCTCTTGGTCAAATATATTGAAACGAATATCATTGAAATATTTTGACGGAAGGGCACTCAAATGGCTCCTTTTGAAGCATCTATCCAAAAACCATACTACTGACATCTGAACTATGTTCTAAATATGCCCTACGCGGATGAACATACTTAGCTTAAGTCTCTTCAAGGATCTTCGGCATTCTCATCCGAATGTTGCAGACATTTGATCTACATCGAAATTGACACTGACGAGGTAATTTGTTATAGAGAAATATTCTCTGCTCGTTTCATATTCTTTTATAAGATTCAGTGATTTATATCTTTGACACACCAAGACGCTGGGAAAGCGTACAGCTTCCTATGGTCAAAGATTCAGGTGATGTAAATTAGAGGCGAAATTCATCCTTGACAACATGCGGTTCACATGGCTTTATTTGATTTCATAAAAGAAATCCAATTTGTTCATCCATCTCCGACAGATAGCAATAGTGACATTCCACGGCAGGTATATTTCCTTTCACAAGAAACAATTACCACACATTGTTCCCATAATCCCTCTCTTCTTCCTGTGCTTTCTACAAATTTCTTTGACTGTCATCGATTCGCTTTCCTTTTCTCTCACCGATTCTCTCTCGATCTTTTCAGTCTTTTATGTAACTATTCTTCCATATATTCCATTTCTCTCTTACGAAGACATGTTTCCTTACTGTCTTTTTTTTTATTTCTGTTAATCTGTGTGCATGAGTGAGAGAGAGATAAAGAGAGGGAGAAACAGAGAGAGATAAACTCTCTCTCTCTCTTTATCTCTCTCTCTCTCTCACTAATGCACAAACAGAAACACACACCCATACTTACTCTCTTTTATAAGATATGTATAGGCACAATTGTGTCCATTTATCAAGGGCTGCTGTATTGGGGAAACAGTATCATGTTGATGTCTGGTGTTGATAGATTTCAACCAATTTACTCAATACGTTTTCAAAGAAAAACCACCGGAATTGATTAACGGAAGACTGGGGATAAGTAGTTGTACTTGTAAAATCTAAAATGTATATTGGATATATTTATATAATTCTGAGATGGGGTATTGAAACTATTTGTTACTGTTGTCCTCATCTTTATTGCTATATTCACGACATTTCGGCGTTGTACGCTCCGGCCTTCTTCAGGTGATACACGTTGAAATTTAGAACTGAACCCTTTATTTAGTCCACGTTAGTAGATTGTTCTCGTTCCGCGCGCCATGTGGATAAAAGCATTGGTTGAAGTAATCCAAAAAGTGACTTCACACAAAGAGTTGCGGGTTCAATATCTGGCCACAGCAGAGAGAACAAAAAAGGTAAGAGTTTAGTTATTAAAAGGAATTAACTAAAACTAAATCATCCAGAAAAGACATGATACGTGCAAGATAAACAATCTACCCCCGTAGACTAAATAAAGGGTTCGATCTAAATTTCGCCGTATATCACCTGAAGAAGGCCGAGGCGTACAACGGTCGAGACGCCGTGGATGTGACATTAAAGGTTAGAAAAATAGTCCTCATGATGTAAATAGTGAAATACTACATAGGTATATCGATTTTGAAGTACGTAGTTGACAGGCAGGCAAAAAGCTTGAAGGGAGTTCCACAAGCGAGAAGTGCGAGAAATGAAACAATTAGAATAGAACTGCCGGTTTCATCTAACTAGTTCATCAGTGAAACGATGAAACCTATTTTTCAACAAAGTAGTAAGCTTAAATGTATGCGGTCGACTTACCAATGAGGACTCGTTAAAACAATTGCATAAAAATTATTTCAGATCTTACAAGGAGGCAACGTCACGGCGGTGGTAAAGTAAAGATGTCACATTCTACTAGCAGTAACTTCATTAATGTACTTGTAAAATTTAAAATATATATAGGATATCACTATCTCTACTTGTGTTAGTTGTCGTTTCACTATGCCGATGAAAGTAACTGTTCTTATATTTCTTTCTTTTTATGTGCCATGTCGTTTCAGGGCGTAGGCGATCATGGCTCTCTACCTCTCTCTATCCCTTGCAGTTCTCAACAAGTTCCTTCCCTCTGCCTCGGTTTTAAAGCAATATTTCATTTAATATTTTAGGAGGGTTTTTGGTTGTATGATAGAAAGTTTCCAAGTGCTACGTCATGTTATTAAATCCATTAACGCCCTACGTAAATTTCTGTATCTTACTTATTATAAAACGCAGATTGTGTGTGTGTGTGTGTCTGTCTGTAACGTTTATATATTGGATCGGATTTCTTACATTTTTCAACCGATTTCAACAAAACTTCACAGGACTACATAAAATTACCTTGTGGTGGTTCTAACAGCGCCAAAAATGGGAAAATATAATTGCTTTTGCACAAAATCAATTTGAAAGCACGATTAAGAGACATCGTGAAAATGGAAGGGGGACAACTCACATCGGGTTGTTTGTGTGTGTGTGTTCCTTTAAATATGGGAGCGGATTTCCTATATTTTTCAGCCGATAAAACAAAACTTCACTTTTTTTTGACAAGTAGTGTTTCTTATTGTCTTGCACACTTTTTTCTTTATTTTTACATTCAGAATGCTTTAAAAATTTCATTTACAAGACAATTGCTTATAATAAAATTCTATTCAATCAGTAGACTCATAACGATTGAAAACAATGTTTTTGTTTGAGTTTGACCAATTCGTAAAAAATAAAAAAACTAATTAAGACATGCGTGTCCGTCAACCTTAAACAATAATCTAACGATCTCTACTGATTGTACGAATACAAACATCGGAATAAATTCTTTATCTTTAGGGAAAGATAATGAAATCTAAACATACACAAGTCCTAACTAAAAACAATAATCTGAACGGGAAACTACTTTAAATACACATGGTGTCCAATTTTTTTACTGTATTCAATAAGTAAAAATCATAAATTGTAAAAGATTATTATATATTACAGAGAAGGCTACTAAATGAATAAGATTTGTTAGATCATAATTAATAAACCCAAATAAAGTTAATAGTTTTGTTTTAGAAACAACGAGTGGAAAATATATTCAAATCAGAATTCTAATTATGAATCACCACAAGCAAAATGTGCAATTTTTTTACTGTATTCAATAAGTAAATATCATAAATTGTAAAACTAAAAGATTATAGAAAGGCTACCTACATTTTTCAACCGATTTCAACAAAGCTTCACTTTTTTTGGCATGTAGTGTTTCTTATTGCCTTGCACACTTTTTTCTTTATTTTTACATTCAGAATGCTTTAAAAATTTCATTTACAAGACAATTGCCTATAATAAAATTCTATTCAATCAGTAGACTCATAACGATTGAAAACAAAGTTTTTGTTTGAGTTTGGGTTTGACCAATTCGTAAAAAAAAAAAAACTACTTGAGACATGTGTGTCCGTCAACCTTAAACAATAATCTTTGTCAATTTTATTTTCAGTCTTTATGATGGTGGATACTTGATCTATCTCTTACTGTTATATCCCCGGGCAACGCCGGGCTCTACTGCTAGTTGATTATAAAGATGAAAATGAAATTATATTTTAATTACAGTTTCATGTTTAAAAATATGGTATTAATTAGGGAATTTTAAACAAAATCCGGTATTAATTATATGTTTCTAAATACGGTAACAATCATACATTTCTATTCTATATGAATATTTATCAACACCAATTCAAAATAGGACGTGTGCCTTTCTCTCGCGTCTGGAAGAGTCGGACTTGCTGGGCTATTTAAATTTTGATCGGTTCCCAACCAACCCAATGTTATTTCAGAAGCCTAACCCCTACCTGACTGTTTATTCAATTCTTTCCGTTTATTCCAGCCTATTCTCCCTCCTTTTAGCGCTGGAAGAAAGTTAATCTTATTCCAACCTGCCTTTTTATTCCAAACAATTCTTTGATTCCAGACAAGTCACGTCACAAAATCCTCAATCCGATTAGAACTGTAGGAACACTACATGTACTGCAGCTATTGTAAATATGGTGTGTTCAACATAATATAGTTTGAATTCAGTGTTCTTTTTCTCTTAGACTGGGTGCAAGGCAAGAGAGCCTAGTTACCAATGCTATTTAACCCATAGCTGGAGGGAGAAAAGATTGATTCATAACATTTCCAAGAGTATTTATGCGATTGTGATCACTCAGACGGAATTCAAACTCGAGTCTCCGATATCACTTTACGAGACGCCAGCTGTTATAACCCCTATGTCAGAGTTAATAAATAATATTCGAGAAATACATTTCACAACTAATTTTCTATATTGAATCCAGTTTATATATTTAGCAATTTATTTACGTCTGTGCTTTTTCTGTCCTTTGCGAAATTAAATATTTTACTCGAGAACATTTGGCATGTAAGTTTTGTTTTGTCATGTTATGGGTGGCATTATCTGGTTATTAATTGATAAGAATGGCCAACTTATCGTCGAATATCGGTCAGGTCGGCTCAGGCTTACAAATGGAAGCGATAAGCAAACGGACAACGTCTTAGTCTGATTGAAGATCACCATTTTTCTCCAGGAATGTTGACGTGCTGTCTGCCTGTGTAAGAGAGACGGGAAAAGAATGCAATTCCTATAACTGACACTGAAGTCTTACTTCTTTGTATCGATAAGCCATTTTCGCTGTGAATCACGAAGCAAACGAGAATTGAAACTGAAAAAAAAAAAAACTTGGGTTAAAGGTAAAAATTTCCGAACAACATCTTCTGGTTGATGTGTACTTTCAAGATATGGGCAATCATGGCCCTCCCGAACTTCTCTTGTTGCCCTAGGTAATTTTTTAAAGTTTTACTATCGCTGTTAATTATCGCTCTACCATCCATTTTCTCCAAATCTTTAAGTTCCTTTCAGGACATAGTTATTGCTCTCCACAACTTCCAGTCGTTTGTTGTTCTAAATAACATTTGATCCGTTTACCAGTCCTCTTTATCCTTGTTCTGCTACCCATTTACACAAATCCGTTAAAAGTTGCTTCCGGAGATAGGCGATCATGGTCCTCCACAACTTCCAGTCGTTTGTTGTTCTAAATAACATTTGATCCTTTTACCAGTCCACTTTATCCTTGTTCTGCTACCCATTTACACAAATCCGTTAAATCTTCCGGAGAAAGGCGATCATGGTCCTCCACAACTTCCAGTCGTTTGTTGTTCTAAGTAACATTTGATCCTTTTACCAGTCCACTTTATCCTTGTTCTGGTACCCATTTACATAAACCCATTAAAAATTGATTCAGGGGATAGGCGATCATGGACCTCCACAACTTCCAGTCGTTTGTTGTTCTAAATAACATTTGATCCTTTTACCAGTCCTCTTTATCCTTGTTCTGGTACCCATTTACATAAACCCATTAAAAGTTGATTCAGGGGATAGGCGATCATGGTCCTCCACAACTTCCAGTTGTTTGTTGTTCTAAATAACATTTGATCCTTTTACCAGTCCTCTTTATCCTTGTTCTGCTACCCATTTACGCAAACCCATTAAAAGTTGCTTCAGGGGATAGGTGATCATGGTCCTCCACATGTTTGTTGGTCTCAATAACATCTGATATTTTTAGCATCCCTCTTTATTCTTGGCCTGCCATCCAACTCGTTAAGTGTCAATTCACGATACGGACGATCATGCCTCTCCACAACTTCCAGACTTTTCAATAACCTTTGATAATTTTAACATGCCTCTTTTTCTTTGGTCTGC